TAGTCGTTAATTGTTTTAGCAACCTAACCGGTGTAGTACCAGACTTTTGACGTACCAGTTGTAATCGTTAAATGTTTTAGTATTCTAACCATTGTAGTACAAGTTTGTTGATATTCCAGTTGTAATCATTAACTGTTTTAGTAACCTAACCGGTGTAGTTCCATGTTGTTGATGTCCCAATTGTAGTCGTTAACTGTTTTAGTGTTCTGATCGGTGTAGTACCAGATTTTTGATGTCCCTGTTGTAGTCGTTAACTGTTTTAGTGTTCTGATCGGTGTAGTACCAGATTTTTGATGTCCCTGTTGTAGTCATTAATTGTTTTAGTAATCTAACTCGTGTATTACCATATTCTAGATGTCCTAGTTGTAACTTTTAACTGCTTTAAGGTTCTAACCGATGTAGTACAAGTTTGTTGATGTCCCATTTGTAGTCGTTAACTGTTTTAGTGTTGTAGCCAGTGTAGTACAATTTTATTTATGTCCCAGCTATAGTCGTTTTAATAACCTAACCGGTGAAGTACCAGGTTTTTGATGTCCCAGTTGTAGTCGTTTTAATAATCTAACCGGGGAAGTACCAGGTGTTTGATGTCCCAGTTGTAGTTGTGAACTGTTTTAATGTTCTTACCAGTGTAGTACGATATTTTTGATGTCTCAGTTGTATTCATTAACTATTTTAGTGTTGTAGCTGGTGTAGTACAAATGTTTGATGTCCCAGTTGTAGTTGTTAACTGTTTTAGTGTTCTAACCAGCGTAGTACAAGTTTGTTGATGTCCCAGTTGTAGTCGTTACATGTTTCAGTATTCTAACCCTTTGTAGTATCAGGTTTTTGATGTCCCAGTTGTAGTCGTTAACTGTTTTAGTGTTCTGACCAGTGTAATACCAGGTTTTTGGTGTTCCAGTTGTAGTCGTTAAATGTTTGAATGTTTTGACAGGAGTAATACTAGGTTTTTGATATCTCAGTTACAGTCATTAAGTGTTTTAATGTTGTAACCGGTGTTATACAAGTTTATTGATGTCCCAGTTGTAGTCGTTAACTCTTTTACTAATATAACCGGTGTAGTACCAAATTTTTCTGATCGGTGTAATACCAGATTTTTGATGCCTCAGTTGTAGTCGTTAACTGTTTCAGTGTTTTAATCGGTTTAATATCAGTTTGTTGATGTCACAATTGTAGTCGTTAACTGTTTTAGTGTTATAACCAGTGTAGTACCAGACCGTTGATGTTCCAGTTGTAGTACTTGTAACTATTTCAGTGTTCTAACCGTTTAGTACCGGATTGTTACTGTCCTAGTTGTATTAGTTAACTGTTTCAGTGTTTTAACCAGGTTGGTGTCAGGTTTTTGATGTCCCAGTTGTCGTCGTTAACTGTTTTAGTATTTTAACCGGTGTAGTACAAATTTATTGATGTGATAATTGTGATTATTAAGTTTTTAGTGTTCTAATCGGTTTAGTATCTGTGTGTTGGTGTCCTAATTATGTTTGAATATTCTTACTGGTGTAGTGCCAGTTTGTCGATAGTGGTTTTAATAGTTTCTATATTCTAGAAAAGACATTACAATTTCATTGATAACGTGATAGTGAGGCATTACTGTTTAGGGTTATAGCAACGACAGTGCAAGTTTGGTTATAAGCTGAGAGTGAGACATTACTGGTAAGGAATTCTATTAGAGAAAGCACTAGCTTGTTAATGATCTAATAGTGAGATATTACTGGTTAGGAATTCTATCGGAGAAAGTACTAACCTGTTGATGACTTGAAGGTGAGTAATTACTGTTTATCATAACAAAGATGACAGGAAAGTAAAATCTACTTGACATTCTATGAAAATGAAAGAGATACGCTTACCATGACGACGATGAAAGGTGAGTTATTACATACATAAAAAAGTAGCAATGCTGGAGAATTAACGGTTGCTATAACGAGGACAAGAGACAAGTAAATTAGTTACTAAAGACTCGGCTATGAAAAAATAAAATAAAATTACCACAATGAACGTTAGAGGCAAGTGAGATCTAATAAAGACTTAGAAGAGATGGGGAGGTTAAGGTTACCTTATCAAGGATGATAAGCTAATGCTTTCGTTACAAAGGTTAGAGGAGGAGGATATAGTTAGGTGGACATAATTTACTAAAACCCTGAGTTAGTGGGAAAGTTAAGGTTATCATAACAAAAATAACAGGTGAATAAGGTATACTAAGGACTCAGTGGTGGTGGAGAAGTGAGGGAGTTTATTAACATGTATAAAAGAGGATATTTCGCAGCATTCTATCTCTATAGTAAATTATATATATATTGAATCAAACACAAAGCTCGAGTCACCGCGTGTCTGCATTATGTTTGGTTATTTCACTGGTATTAAATTATAATGGAATTATCATACGTCTGCAGCTCGAATATCTGTAAAAAAGTCAGGTATTTCAAACGCTCTGTTCATAGCTTCGCTTGTATTTATTTCTAAATATGCCAGTTTGAGAATACGTCTGTACTTCGCTATGTATGTTTCTTGTTACTTCTCTGTCCAGAGACATAGACTTTTACTCGACATTTATATAAACATGTATTTTTAGAGAAAGTGTGTTTTCTAAAAGGTTTCACTGCCAAACATTTCCCTCGAGTGTTTATCCTAGAACATTGATTTACAGCTGTCGGGGTGTTAATTTTTCAACTCGATTGGAAAAGTTGAAAATGTGTTCGAATGTTAGACACGCGCTCTTTCTCTCAATAGAGAGGATGCCTAAATTTAGTTTAAGAAGTAGAAAATGAGACGTTATCGTTTGTCAAAGAAAACCAAGATTAGAAAACCGCTCTCCCATCTTTGTCTTTTTTTTTTTTTAGAATTGTTTAGGTTTAGTCACGTGATATATACTTTTGAGCAAGGCTAAACTTTGTGAGTTAGCATTCTTCGTCTTTTTGTACAACAATATGCTCAAGAATTGATGTGAACTGTATCATCATATGATCAGTATTATAATCGCAAACAGAATGTTCTATTCCAAATCTTAACCTGAGACTATAATCGGAAAATTGTCATCATCATTAGAATTGAATACAACATATACTTTAAATCCAACCTCGGATGTATCGTTATCATCAGTATCAGTTATATAAGTTCATAGAATTACAGCGTTTGACAGATTATAGTGTAGGTATTATAACCGATCCAGTGCTATTTATGTTCTGATAGACAAATCATCTAGTACAGAATGTACCATAATCACTGTATTTTACCCTTATATACAAGTAGGGTTTCGATACTCGTGGTTGGCACAACAAAGGTGCATATGGTGTGTCTTTGTGCTTAAGAAGAAACAAACAAATTATAGAAAATTCATACAGTGTAGGTCTTACCACAATCAAAGTATTTTACCCTTATAGACAAATAGGGGTTTCGATATATTATATTATATGTTATATTCTTTAGCAAATGATTGTGCAATTGTTATCACCAACACATTATTACACTACAGAGAAATAGATTATAGTACTGGTGTTAAATTCATTTCAGCTTCAATCCGTTAGGCAATTTCTAATGAAGATATTGTCATGAACACAAAACCATAGCCTTAAATGTAGCACAGTAGTAACGTTATTGTCAAAACAGTCTGCTTGGAAAAATTGATTAAGGATAACGTTTCGGCATATCTAACTTTTCGTGCATCAAAGCTACATGAAGACATTTACATTTGCGCAAAACTTTGTGTCAAGAAGTTCAAATGAGTGTTAAAAGCAGCAACGACCCTAGGCGACTGAAAATATCTGAATTTGGGGGAGCACCGACTATTGGGGGCATGCTATGTTAACTGTGACCTCTGAATATAATACTGCAAAAGTGACTTTCTATGAAAGTTATACACAAGTGTCTATTCCCCGTTCAAAGAGGCAATTCCCTACCGGTTCGAAATTGGGGAAAAGTGCCCCAGTGCCTTCCAGTTCCGCCACTTATGGCCACAGCAGTTAAAAGTAGCTCCGGGCATAGCGCAAAGCCAGACAATCTAGTTTTCACAGTTGCGTTTTCTATATGTTTCGTTTCATATTTCCGGTACATTTCAAATGAAAGGTTTACTCATGAGCGCTTATTGGCAATTCTAACTAGCTAATATTTATTTTCGTTTTTAGAACTACTTCGTACTGAGAAAAATATATTTGTTTTCTATGAAACAAATGAACAAATCAAATTTGGTTTTGATAGAAAATGTAGCTCGTTTATAGGCTATGTATTAACTTCTCACGTGTTTTCTAGTTTTCTACTTCCTGCCTGATTATAGAACACCGAAAAATGCTGTGATAAAGAACGATTTTTAGTGATTCACGTCTACCAAATATAAAATATTTTATAAAGAGATAACTTGGCATAAGAGCACTCAAGTGAGAAGAAATAAGTATGTATAAATCAACCCAGTCATTGTATTGAAAGTGGATATGTATAATCTCATTAAGTATGTATAAATCAACCCAGTCATTGTATTGAAAGTGGATATGTATAATCTCATTAAGTATGTATAAATCAACCCAGTCATTGTATTGAAAGTGGATATGTATAATCTCATTTACTGTTTAAGATTTTTCTAAGACTTTTTCAAATATGTGTTAAAGAAGACGAAACGAAGTATTCCTGCTTAGTTAACTAATAATGCTTGAAGAACGAAGTATTTCTGCTTAGTTAATTAATAATATCTGACAGAACGAAATATTTCTGGTTATAGCTAACTAATAACGCTTGAATCAATTGTTTTTCAAACCTCACCACAAAAAGCTTTTATAACAAAATTAATTATTGTTAGTTAGTTCAGAGACATTTTCTAAAGCAGTTCTTCATATTTCATCTATCAATAAAGCATACGAGTCTTAATTAATCAACACTATAAGGAGAGGATGGGAAACTCATGCCGCATGTTAAATCATGCCAACGGGGCAAGACGTTGGTAATTAACTTGGGGTGAAATAATATCAAGTGATACTCCTTATTTATTATTGCTATCAATGTAAGTTTCAATTACTTACCCAAGAGTAGTCATAGTAACAATAGTGTACCAAAAAGCAGACGGGATGCTGGTAAAATTCGTATTTGTTACATTTTTCTCAGCATAAAACATTACAGTGGCGAATATGATTATGGCCATAGCAAGAGAGAACACAAGAAAGCCAAGTTCAGAAGCACAACTTTTTAAGGTATAACCCAGGATACGCAGCCCCTGTGAGTGTCTGGAAAATTTGAAGATACGAAAAACCCGAAACACTCTTAAGGTTACGAAGGCTCCTGAAAGGTCCTCGTTATCAGTCATTCCCAGACTAATGTAATAGGGCAATATAGCAACCACGTCAATAATAGACATAACGCTTCTCATGAAGTAACATCTGTTCGGAGCAGCGTATAAACGTAACAGGTATTCAGCCGTGAAGATCATAACACAGGCTGTGTCCAAACAGAAAAAGGCTGTTTTGTACATCTCTCCGAAGGAGATGCTTTCATTGGTGTACAAATGCTTTCCACATGGAATTGTCTCTACAACATTCGCCATTACTGACACGGCAATGAAAAACCCGGTTACGTAGTAAAACACTAGTGCCGCTGTGCTGGTATGGGGGTTTTCAAATGCTCTCCACATTTTCTCTCGAATTGTATAATTGGAGGTATCATTCGGCTCATTGGCTTCTGACAGTTTATCATCCATGATTCTCTCTGTGTTCTCCCTTTTCTTGTCCCTGTAGTCTTCATAACAACAGTCCCCAATGACGTCTGGGATGATTCCAAAAAAAGCCAACTCTTCATCGTAAGCCATGAGACACTCATGTTTAGGAAAATGAAGCTTACCTGTGCGATAGTAGTTCAAGACGTGTCGAAATAATTCCGGATCACGGTCAAAAAAATACTCTTGGCTTTCCTCATCGAAAAAAAACTCTCTCTCGTTAGAACCGAGAAGAGTATCGGAATATTTTTCTACCGTATTTCTCCAAGTTTCAAACCTCCTCCCGCTGACATTAATGATAAATTTTTCATCTTCTCTTTTGGTTTTATCCTTTGTTATTGGCGGAGCTGGTAGCGGGTTGTTAGCAATCGGTACCCAGCCGATAGCAGCAGCTCGGGCGAAGGGAAGCCACGCGGCGACAGAAGCCATGATTCCCCCGTCTCACCCAGATGATGTCCGCCGTTTGTGATCTCGAGTTTTCTGAGAGTAGGTTCCTGGCAGCGCAAACACAAGAACACGCACGCGCATCAGAAGAAACTATTGGGTAGTGACTGAGACTACAGTTTTCTCTCGTGGCAGCCAGGTTTTAGGTAGTCACGTGAAGGTTCTTGCTGATCACCTAATTTAAGCAATAAATCGCTCCCATTGTTCAGTTACAGTATAACGGAGAAACCTATTTTTCTTCCCTTGATCAGGAGAATTACAGCAGATAGTTACGCCAGAAACATACATTTGCTCTTACCGATATGATGACGTTAAAACTTAACTCGAGTACGTCTGCTTATACTACCTGAACGCGCTAAGTTTTGGGTGCGCAGCTGTTTGTAGCCTCGTTTTAAGAATCACGCGTTTTAAGAGTTCCAAAGATTCTATTCGTAGTTAATTCAACTATATTGATGCAAAATAAATAAATGTTAAGTTTGTGTAAAAAATACTCACAATGGACTGTTCATACTGTAAGAAAGAATTCACAACGTACTTAATGTTCTACAATGAACATGTTACATCTTCCAGCCGTGGTAATCGCTATAGTTACGGCTACGTCATGGCAAACCGCTTCTTATAGCCGTAAGTTTAAGCATGCGCCTTCTTTCGTTTTTATTAGCCGTTTACTTTTCTTTATTTTCAATTATTTCTTTATTTTGAATACTCCTATGAGCATTGTTAATATGAATATTTATAAATCCTTAAAAGGATTATTAAAAATAATTTATAATAAAGTTTAACATGCCTGTGACAATCACAGGTAAGAAAATATATACGGGCTTTTATATATTTGCGATTTATGTTATAACAAAAGCGTTCTATCAAACCAGTTGCTTTTAAATATAAATGACTTTAAACTTTATTGTTCTAGTCTGTAATAGTGTTTTTCTTAGTACTTCCCTTGTTTTGCCTTACTTGTCGCATGTTTGTAGGATGAAGTTTTCACTTTTTTCCCATCTCAGGAACGATCATAGTTTGAGATGCAATGACATAGCTAGTTGATTGTTCAGCTAAAGCTGTAAACTACGAACAGCCCTTTCAATAACTCTGGAATTTACAGCCACCTAAACAAAGACTGTAACGAAAAACCAAACAATGAGCACTTCAGAATAATAGACTCAGTGAAAGATGGATGTACGCCAAGAAAATAGGAAGCACTTCTAATTCGTATCCTACAAGTTAAGGTGAACAATCAACTAGCTAAGTCACTGGATCTCAAACTATGATCAACTCATCGTGTCTGAGATGGGCAAAAAGTGAAACATTCATTCAACGAACAAGTGTGAATATCTACTGAAACGCAAAAAACTCTTACGTCACGAATTACTTGTCGCAGGTGTAAAATACGTGCCTTGTTAACGGATAGCTAGCTTCTCTTAACGTAGGCGTTACTTCTTCCAATACAGTTTTTGTACAATCCAGATATTGTTTTTATTTTGAAGTAAATAATTAAAGTATTCCAGCGTTCTGTTGCAATTAATTAGTTCAAGTTTGTCAGCTTTCTGTTGCAACTGGTTGACTCATCTAGGTGTAATAGTAATGCTCATAGTTGCCATATCTATTACAAACTTGTGAAAAACAATATTTTTCAATGATAATAAAATGCCTTTTGTTTATGATTGAAATAGTTTTAGGTTATAGTAGTATAGTGGCTATTACATAAAAATATTAAAGATTTATTTGTACGTTTGTTGTTGAGAACAAAACCAAACAATGGGCTATGTGTATTCTGTCAACCGCTGGTATCAAAACCCAATTGTTAGTGTTATAAACCCTTTGACTTACTGCTGAGCCTCTGGGAGCATCATCCGTATTATTTTCGTACATCACAACGACTACAATAAATATACGCCATATTTTTTATAAATAAAAAATCATAAAAGTTGTTTTAGATTTTAAAAAATCAATATCAGTTTTCAGTGGACAACAATAGGTAATTTTTCTCGTGGCAAGTAAAATAGAGTAATGGCACAGAAAGTTGCGAAAGGTTTAATTTAAAGAATGACTTTCTATTGAAAAATATGATAATTATTAATCCCAATTTATTGCTATTAAACGTTTCTAAATTGCTTTCCAGTGGCACAGCGGTATGTCTGCGGACTTACAACGCTAGAAACCGGGTTTCGATACCAGTGGTGGGTAGAGCACAGAAAGCCCATTGTGTAGCTTTGTGCTTAACTTAAAAAAAAAACGAAACAAACTAAATTATATTTATTAATTATTTGGTGCATGATAAAAAAGATAACATCATATTTTAAAATGCATCTTAGAATGCAAAAATCCGGGGTTCGATTCATGGCGTTGAACAGAGCGCAGACAGTTCATTGCGTAGCATTTTTTCTAAAAAGTGAACAGCAACAAAAGAACGAGCGACAGTAAAATCCTAGCATTTAGTAAAGTAGGCCTAGATTACATAACTTTAAAGCTGCAAAACATACGAAGTTAAAATATGGAGAGAAATTGAAAATATATCTGTGTGTATTTAGAACTAAAGCGATTGTATTAAATGTACGAGGAAAGCAAACAAAATTTACACATAGGAGCAATTTTATATTATTTTTCATACTTTATTTTCTTAGCTAAATATAAGGATAACGAAAAATTAATTTAAAACTGATGTTACGTTTATTTTAAGAAAATATGAGAACGCAGTAAATGCAGTACAAAAAAGCGACATATTAATATGATCAGTTATAAATAGCATTGCCATGTCGTATACTAGTTAAATAATACAGGTATATACATACACGTAGCTGAACCCATACGATAAGAAGTTCTATAGGTTTAAGTTGGCAGAAAAAATTTTAACTTTTGTTTGTCTTATTTGTCTTGTTAAACATAGAGCAACACAATGGCATCTACCACAGAGATTGCAAGGTCTAGGGCCATGTTTGTGAAAGATGACTGATGAACATGTTGTTCTAAATTAGAATTAGATACAATGTATTGGATTTTGAGAATATAAAGTTAAAAATAAAAGTTACAAAAATATATATTTTAGCATATAAACATACCAAATTAGCAATCTAAACGATGGAGTAAAATAGGATTTGTCCTTTATATTTCCATTCATAATAATACTAATTTCATCTTAGTTTTATACAGTAAAAAATGAATTTAGCTGCTAACACCTTTTTGCTGGTTAACTTACATGGACGTACAATTTTCTAAAATAAAATTAATCCTTAATGAACTTAGGCCATCTATTTCTAAAATCACTGTTAATTTTCCTTTTCGCGAATTATTCTTTCACATACTTTTGAACAGCAATATCGTGGGTTAAATATGGAAAAAAGTAAACATTCTAAATTTTACGTGATTGATTAGTAAGTCTTCTTTACTTCTTACTAGGACAACATTGTACAGTTTTAAAAGTAATATAAGGCTTAGATATTCTAGAGTTTTGAGAAAATACGATGTACATACTTTGTGAAATTCGGTATAAGTTGCGATCTACATGTCATTTGATCACATATAATAATCTCTAAAATCAAAGAATTTGAAGAATGTTTTATTTCGGCCTAATTTGTACGTACGTCGAAAATGTTATTGATTTCCAGATTGCTAGAACATATAAACTGGCCATCTACTTGTTTAATATCTATATTTTGTTATTGGTTTATAATATAGCAAATTCATACTTTTTTGACAGAAAATAGGTTGATTGTAAAGCATTCACACAACTGAGAAACAATATAGTTTTAGCACCAATGTCACTAATATATATGCAATAATACATATGACAGATATTGTAAGAAACAATACAATAGATGTAACCAAAGAACACCTTAATTCAAATTTATTGCCACAGAAATGATTTTACTTGGATTTCATTTACGGCATCTCGTTGTGCAAAACATCCAAAATACCGGATAATATATGCAAGTATAAGTGAGAAAATGCTTTATTAATTTGTAAATCTAAAACAATGAACATATGACGCTTTATAAGCAGAAAGTACGTCTTTAAAAATGGCATAATATTATGTAATTGTAACAGTACAATAACATTTCTGAGGAATACATAATTCAGTTTCATATATCTTGTCAGCTGTGGTCAATATTCCTATATAAAACCCTTATATTAGTTTGAGGTAACTCTAGCACTATACTACATAAAACAAAAGTCAATCATCGTCTCCACTATCACTATACTTGTGTAGGTATTTCATCTTCACCGTCACAATGTATTTGTATAGTCTTTTCCACTTCAGTCTTTGCACATCACGGATTGTGTCTAGCAAGCTAGCTGGTGCTGGACTTATCAATTGTAACTAGTTGAAGATGTCCTTTTACTTTCTCTCATTGGAAAGATACGCGGAGCAAAAGAGAGTGTGTGTCATTTTCTGTTGGAGTTGAACGTGCAATATCAACTTCACTCTTTGCAACAATACTTTTCTTCATGTAATGTTCATACCGCAACTTATTCAAGTAATGTGTCATTGGATTGCTCCCATATAAAGAGACCAGCATCCTGGACCCTGCATTAGTCAACTATTCAGTAGTAACACCCTTTTCTAAACCGAACAGGTACGCAAGATGGACTTGTTAAATATATGATGTTTACAACATTAGTAGAAATATAAGTAGATATTTCTAAAGTAAACGCAACCTGTTTTACACCTTACCTTATGCTTTAGGTTTCGCAAAGGAACTAAGGGTTTGAATACTATTAACTTGTTGTTTTGCTTCTGGATAGCAGTTGTAAGTATGGCTATCCCTGAACCTCAGTGGCTTTCGATCTGGCTGTTTAACCCATGTGTCACATACGAGCTGAATGATAATACCAATATAATACCAGTATGCCATTGTAATCATAGAGTGTAGAGATATGCAGTCGATGAACAACTATATGGGAATTGTTTGAAATGGGAAGGTATATTTACGGACATACAATTTTTGTTAGTGGTATACGCAAGTGACGTTAATTTTGATAGTCGTGTTTGTTTTAGAACAATGCTACATAATGT